TGGTCAGACATGGAAGATGCCAAGGTCATCCAGAGTATTCCAGGCCACCACCAGCTGTCTTGATTTTTATCTTGACGGACCTCGATGACTGTGGAAGACAAAATGAGGCTGATGACTTTTCACAACTGCCTCACTTAAATCCATTTCATGCAAGTCAAGACATTACCCAGTAATGGTCCTCTTCCTAAACGAAGGATGAATAACCACTAAAACAGCCCAACCCCCTCTTTTACAGAAGAAGAGCCTGAAGCCTAGAGGGGCAAAGTGACTTGTCCGAGGTTACACAGTTACCAAGGTGTGGAGCTGGGATTGGAATCTAGGTGCTCTGACTCCCAACCTAGCAATGTTCCCAGCTTACTGCATTCCTCCCCAGTCCACAGCCCTTCATTTCGGAAAAGTATTGAAGGCAGTCACTCCTTCTAGGCTGCTGCTGCCTGCTCTCTGGTCCCCATTGTCCAGCAGCTTTTGGTGCTCGGAGTTGGGGAATGTGTGGAATGAAGGAGGAAGGCTAGAGCTCCAGCCTCCATGGCCGCCAAGCCTGGGGTTTTTAACTTTAGTGTCCTGGACTTCATGGCAGTCTAGCGAAGCTTGCGGACCCCTTCTCAGTCTCTTCAGATACACAAAATTAAATGCACAGAATTACAAAGGAAAGCAATTACGTTGAAATATAGTTATGAAAATATTTTTTCAAAGTTCATAGACCCCAGGTTGAGAACTCCTCCAACCAAGTGGTTATTCAATCAGTTAATGTTCTTTTGAGTTGTCATGCATATGCAGAGTGGGGATCTCTGGGGCTGGGGTGGGGCAAGGTGGAACAGATGAAGAAAAAGGGGAGTCATTGAGGTAGAGGAGAAAGAGGGATGCTTTTGGAAGCAGGCCAACTGGGTTCAAATCTCAGCTCTTGTGCCAGGCAGGGGATCGAATGAGGAAACCTATGTTAAGTACATATGTTTAAAGACCTTAAAAGTGCTGGATGCCACTGCTGCTGGTGGTGATGATAATGATGATGATGGTGGTGATGATCATGGGCAAGTCACTTTACTTCTCTGGGCCTCAGCTTCCTCATATGTAAAATGGGAATATTATAGAAAGGGAATGTTATGTGGTATAAAGGGTCAGAAGGATTTAGGTCTAAGTCTGTGTGGCCTTGCCAAAGCCACCAAACCTCTCAGGTCTCCAGGAAACTTTTTCAAATTTGGAGTTGGATTAGAGAGCATGTAATATAGGGGGTTCCTCACCCTTTTGTGTGACAGTCAGGTTGGTAAAAGCTAGGGGCTCCTCAGAATAATCTTTTTAAGTGAATAAAATTTGTGGGATTTTATTTTTTTTGGTTGGGCAATGGGGTTAAGTGACTTGCCCAGGGTCACACAGCTAGTAAATGTCAAGTGTCTGAGGTCACATTTGAACTCAGGTCCTCCTGACTTCAAGGCTGATACTCTATCCACTGCGCCACCTAGCTGCCACAATTTGTGGGATTTTAAATGAATGAAACCAAGGATATCAAGATAAAGAAGTGATGTTTTTCCCCATCCAAGTTCATGGACCTCCCCCCAGAAGGGCCTCTGATCCAAGCCTACCCTTTCTTCTTATAAAGGAGCAAACCAAGGTTCAGGGAGGACAAAGTATTTGCCCAAGGTCATCCAGAGTCCAGGCTGAGGTGAATGAATGAAAACATTTATTTGCTGAGCACTTACTCTGTGCTAATCATTGGTGGATAGAAAGCCAAGTTGTCCATCAGCATCAGGACAGAGAATTCTACACTGGGGGGTTCCCTACACCGAAGAAATCACAGTCTTGAACCTCCATTCACCAAAATTCTTTCATTAGATCATAGGGCCAGGGGAAAAACAACGAGCAAACATTGAATTAATAATAATGATAATAATAATAATAGCTAGCATTTATATAGTGCTTTGAGGTTTGCAAAGTACATTCCAGGTAGATCATTTTATCCTCATAACAATATTAGGAGGTAGGTGCTGTTATTATCACCTCTACCCCCATTTTACAGATAAGGAAACGGAGTCAGGCATAGGTTAAGCAATCAGCCCAGGGTCACATTAGCCCAGGATCAGTAAGGGACTGAGGCAGGATTTGAATTCAGATCTTCCTGGCTTCAAGTCCCATACACTGTCCGCTGCAGCTAAATGCCACAATTATAATACTGTTATAACACAGCCCTCCCCTACTCTGAGGAAAATGAGATACACACAAATAATTAGCCTTGAGAATAGAAATATAAGCAGAAGCCCAACTCAGGAATTTGCTAATTCTTTATTTCCACTAGGAAGAATAGAATAGAGATGTTAGCTTGGCACCAAGAAGTGCCCAACCTGGGCAGCATGGCATAATGGGGACTTGGAGTCAGGAGATTTTGACTGCAACTCTTGCTAGCTGTGTGACTGACCCAGAGCAAAATGGTTAGACATTGTAAGCTTTGCTGCTTGGGCATACAGTAAACACTTAAAAATGCTTGTTGTCTGTTGGCATCAGTTTCCTTTTTTGTAAAATAGAGATAATACTTGCATTTCTTATCTTACAGGGTTGTTATGAGGAAAGTGAGTTATAGGGCTGGTTGGATCCATTATTATTTTAACCCTCTTGAAGCTGCGGTGATGATAGTGGAGGTGGGGGATAATTGAGGGGGGTGTGAGTGAAACGAGGTGGGTAGTGAGGGGGCAGACATAGTGGTGCCAACTGTTTTGGAGAGTGGATGGGGAAGGCTTTGAGGTTTACCAGCAGATGGCAAACTGCCAGGTCGGGGCTCAGTACATGATTAGGCGTGTATAGGCAGTCGATGGTTGCACATGGAGGCCCTAGTTGTAGGTAGTCATAAGAGTGGGAGCATAATGGAATGGCTGCCTGGAAATGGTGAGTTGAGAGCTGGATTAGAGAGATGGTTGATGGGAGGGGCCCAGATTGGTGAAGAGGGCTGGGCATTTCCAGTGTGGAAAATCAAAAGAGCCAAAGCCTAGAGTTTGGAATAAACACAGTGGAAACAATGCCTGGAACATAAGAAATGCTTCATAAATGCTGACTGACTGGCTGGCTGGCTATTTGGAGTGGTGGGGGATGAAGAATAGGAAGGATAAGGGGAAGGCAGGGTCTTCAATGTGGGGTATTGAATACAGAGGAAGTAGGAGGAGTTTGAATCTGATCTCCAGACTAGAATTTTTCCCTCAGCCTTCTCTGACCCCCTTCTCCTCAAGGGATCCTAAGAACAAAGATGGAAAGCTGAAAAGGACCTCAGGGATTATTTAGCTAGTTCTCTCCTGGCCACAGGGACAAACACAAACACTAGGGGCCATCAGGGTCAGGCCCAGGGATCCCCTTGCCTCTGTCCAACTCCTCCAGGTCCAGGCTGGGTTTCCTCAGGCTGTGGAGACTTCAGTTCCCTTTTACTAAGCACTCCCTGCCCCTCCTGGTCCCTCCAACTCTTCCCTTCCCACCCTGACCTCCATTCTGTCACCCTCTTCCCTGACCTCTCCTTTTCCTGCAGCTCATCTCCTTCTTTCTCTTTTCTTCCCTTCTGTTTCCTCCTTTTCTTTTGTTTCTTTTTTCTCTCCACTTTTCCCTCTTTGTCTTTGTTCTCTTTCTCTTCCTCTCTCCCCACCTCCTTCTAACAACCTCCTCCTCTGATCTCTTCTAGTCCTTTCTCCCTCCCCATCACCCCTCTCCTCTTCCCCATCCTTCCTTCCCTAGCCTCAGGGCACTCCTCCTTCTCCCTCCATCTGGGTTCTAGCCCCACTTCAGTCTTTCCAGCCTGGCCGGATTGGAGGCCCCAGGCGCCTCCTGGGGAAGGGGCTTGACAAGCCCTACTGACAATTTCCTGCCACAGTATCCGGCCACCAGTCCTGCCGACGCTGTGGGCCCCCTCCCCTGCTCTCCGCTCCCCAGCTCCTCCCTCCCCTTCCTCCCACCACATCCTTTCCCCTTCCTCCCTCCCCCAGCTTCCTCCCATTAAGCCCCTCCTCTCATTCCTCTCTCATCTTTCCCCCTCTTCTCTTTCCTCATTCCTGCCATCATCAATTAAATCCTTCAAAAGGCCTTTGTTGAGCTCTGGCTGGGTGTCCCCACGAAGGCCTCAGGGAAACAACCCAGGTGTAGTGGAGACAACCCTGGGGGCTGATTTGGATACTTGGGGCTGATTCCCCTCTTTGCTACCCGCTTATTGTGTGGCATTGGGCTTTTCCTCTTTACTTTGGGCCTCGGTGTCTTCCTCTGTAAAATGGGGTAACTAATCTCCCCTCTCTACTGGTTGTTCCCCCACAATGCTATGGAAGATGTGAAAGTTATTACAAAACATTACATGAGTGTGAACTGTGAAAGGGAGCTCAGTGTATGTAGCACATGTCCCTACCACACTTGGAAAATTGTATTTAGGTCTAGGAGCAGTTTAAGGAGAACAGTTTAAATTTTTTGCATGAAAGGATTAGTTGAAGGAATTGGGGAAATTTAGCCTTCAGAAAAGAAGCCTGAGGGAGTTGTAGGAGGAAGATGTGATAGCTTTCTTCAAGTATTTGAAGTGTCATCCTGTGGAGGAGCAATGAGACTGGCTCTGTTTGGCCCTAGATTAAGGCAGAATCAGAAGCAATGGATGGAAGGTGGAAGGAATCAGATTTCAGCTCAGTGCACAAAATTTTCCCAAGAATAAGAAAAAGAGTCTAAATCTAGAAGTGCGATGACTGCCTCGGGAGGCAAGCACTGGCTTTTTTCCTAGGAAGTTTTCTCTCTGGGGCAGGAGCCCTTGGAGATGTTGGAGAGGGGATTCTGGTCAGGTGTGAGTTGGACTTTATGGCCTCTAAGGTCCTTCTCTGCCAGCTCTGAAATTCTGAGATTGGAGGAGGCTGGGCCAGCCTGGGGGCAGGGTACTGGAATAACTAGGGAAAGGGGAACAAAAGGAGCCCAGGGGTGCTGGCTCCTTGGGAAGATGGGCAAGGCCGGGAGGCCAGGATGGGTCCAGAAGCTGATCGAGCTTACTTGGACTACCCCCACTCCAGGTGGTGCTCTTACGGAGTCCACGATGCCAGACGCAGCTGCCCACCTGCCCTTCTTCTACGGGAGCATCTCGAGGGCGGAGGCAGAGGAGCACCTAAAGCTGGCGGGCATGGCGGACGGGCTCTTCCTGCTCCGCCAGTGCCTCCGTAGCCTGGGGGGCTACGTGCTCTCCCTGGTGTACGACCTGCGCTTCCATCATTACCCCATTGAGCGACAGCTGAACGGCACCTATGCCATTGCTGGAGGCAAGCCTCATTGCGGCCCAGCTGAGCTCTGCGAGTTCTACTCCAAGGATGCAGATGGCCTCCCCTGCCCTCTGCGCAAGCCTTGCAACAGACCCAGTGGTATGGAGCCCCAGCCAGGTGTCTTTGACAGTCTTCGGAACAGCATGGTTCGAGACTACGTGCGCCAGACCTGGAAACTAGAGGTGCGGCCCAGGCAAGGAGTCCTCAGGGGTCCCTTAGATTGTCCGGGAGGGGCCAGGTAGAGTGGGACAGCAGGGTTCCCTGAGGAAGTTACCTTTCAGCGCTTCAGTTTTTCCATCCTGTTTCCCTTGCACTCTCTACCTGCCAGGGTGCCTTTGTGAACCTTAAGGCCCTAGAGAAATAAGGGCTGTTGTTCTTCCTCATGGGGGCACCCTGACCCTATCCCTCCCCAGGGTGATGCCCTTGAGCAGGCCGTCATCAGCCAAGCCCCTCAGGTAGAGAAGCTTATTGCCACCACAGCCCATGAGCGGATGCCTTGGTACCACAGCTCCATATCCAGAGAGGAAGCCGAGCATAAACTCTACTCAGGCTCCCAGCACGATGGCAAGTTCTTGTAAGTGGGGCAGGGGGTGGCAGTGTGTGTGTGTGTGTGTGTGTGTGTGTGTGTAGCTCTATGTCTGGGAATGCAGGTTGCTAGTAGGTGACACACATTAGCGTCTTCATGTGACGTGGTCTTTTTGAGCACACACGTGAGCTTTGTCAATGTGGTGAAATCACATTGGTCGGCTTTCTGGCTTGAACATGGAAAGAACCCCGGTGTCCTGGGCACTACTGGGCATATGTTTAGGAAGTTGGAACTGAGATGTATCAATGGCTAAGTCAGTCGATAAGCATTTATTAAGCACCTCCTATGTATTCAGTGCTAAGGGGACCACTGTATGCACATTCTAAGCCACAAACCTCAGGTTATAGCTCCCATCTTTAAGGCGGTCTGGCAGGAGGCCTCATCCTCTTTTCTTTAAAGGAGAATTAAAAAGCTACCATTTAATTGATAAAGAAGAGATAGGATGGTGGTTGTGCTTATTAAACGTATTTAAAAATAGCTCTACATTAAGGGCTTTGCCACAAGCTCATCTTAGGGCTTTCCTCTGGTCGGGAGTAAAGAGCATTAGCTGGTCTTGCCACCCTACTCCCCCATTCCTGACCCCCCAGTAACACCAGTAGGGCCCTTTGACACAGCTTTGGGTAAGAATCCTAAGATCTATGTTAAAAGGACAGGGCCCTTTTATACAATCAGTTCAACACTAGAAGGACCTAACTGTACCAACTGAGGCAAAAATTTTTATTGTAATTTTACTTTAAACATTTTCATACTGTCTCTATTTTCTTTGCCTTACATATTAAAAATTAATGCACAGAATCAATTAACCTGGTTTAGTCCTTCATGGCATTCTTAACTTCTTATCTTTCTGACAAGGTTTTACGTCATGAAGGATACTGTTTACATCGAGTACCACGTGTCTTTGTCAGTGATGATGAAGTATCCAGGTGTGATCGATTGTGTGTTTGTATGTGTTTGCTTGGGAGAGTGTGTCTGGTCCCATGATATGTGCTTCTGCCTACTTGTGAGCAGCACTGAATGGCCTTCTTAGAGGGGATGTGTTGAACACCAGTTGGCTCATGAGCACATATGTATGTTTGCTTCTCCTGAGAGTATAGGAAGCATATTGGCCCTTGTTCGCGTGAGACACTCTGGAGATTGGAAGTGGCACCTTCCTCGGTACAGACCTGGGTTCAGATCCCATCTCTGATGCTTACTTCCTGTGTATCCTTAAGCAAACCACATTATCTCCCTGGGCCTCAGTTTCCCCCCTCAGCAAAATGAGGAAATTGAGCTAGGTGTGGCTTCTTCTATATGTGATCCCATGACCCACTGAGAGAATGGAGGTGAAGCCTGGTAGACTCCCCACCCTCTCCCCCTGCCTGCTTCCAGTAGGGTTGAGTGGGCCGCTCACAACCCCACCAAGGTGCTGGATGCTCACTGGCCACAGCTATTCCTCCCTCCTCCTGGGAGAAGTACCAAACTCTGGCTCTGTTCATTTTTCTTCCCGTGTGAAGTTGGGAGAACAGCCTTGCCGAGACTCGGTCTCCCTCATCTGTAAAATGGTGGTGGTAAGGGTGAGCTAGATGATCTGTATGGCTCTTTCCAGCTCTAAATCTTTGATCCTGGCACAGGCAGGGTGTGGTGTGCTTTGGGCACAAATGATAAGCCCAGGGACCTGGAGACTTTTCATTTTCCTTTTCCACCACCTCTGTAGGCTTAGGCCCAGGAAGGAGCAAGGCACCTATGCTTTGTCCCTCATCTATGGCAAGACTGTCTACCACTACCTCATCAACCAGGACAAGTCTGGCAAGTACTGTATTCCTGAGGGTACAAAGTTTGACACCTTGTGGCAGGTAAGCAGCCCAGGCCCCATTCACATCCCACCTTCCTTGTCTTTCTACACTTCCCATCTAATTACCCAGACTCCTAGCCTCCCACCTGCTGTCCACTCATCTCTTCTTTCTCCCTTTGAAGAGACCCTGATAAGGGGGCCTGGTCCTGCCCTCCTACCAGGGCTGGATGGGACTCTGATGGAGGTTGGGCCCTTCCAGTCCTGATGCCTCTACCTTCCTTTTCTCCCCATCAGCTGGTGGAGTATCTGAAGCTGAAGGCAGATGGGCTTATCTACTGTCTGAAGGAGATTTGTCCTAATGCCAGTGCTTCCATTGCTGCTGGTAAGGGAACTCGGGACTGGGGTTAGGGTTTGAGCTAGGATTGGGCTGAGGGGTCAGAGCTAGTACTGACCCTGGAACTGGGTCAGGTCTGGTACCCATGATGGGGCTCAGGGCTGGGGCTGGAGCTAGGGTTGGGTTGGGGGCTCAGAGTGGGACTTGGGTATGGGGCTAGGGCAGGATCTAGCACCCAGTTCAGAGCTGGATCAGAGGAGGCAAGGCAGTTCTTTGGTCTGTCCAAGGCATCTCACTGACTCTCTTTGCTCCAACCCAACTCTCTTTCCAGTGACTGCTGCTCCCACGCTCCCTGTCCATCCCTCCACACCTGTGAGTCTGGTCCCTGGGATTAGGGAGGCAGGAATTTGGTCCCTGGGAGGAATTAGGGATGGGTGTCCTGAGAATGTGGATAAGAGGCCCAGCCTGTCCTCCCAGGGTCCTACTGCTCCTGAGCTGTCCAGGGCCTGGGTCCTTTAGGAGGAGGCAGAGGGAGCTGGGATGGGCAGATGGGGGGACTGGGGAAGGGCATTCACAGGTATAGAATGCTGGGTTCAAGCTCCCCAGGAAAGATGGGGGTATGTACCCCCTTCCTCATGAGGCAGTAGGCAGTCACTTGTTGGTTGGCACTCCCTGGGTGACTGATCCCATGTACCTCTGGTCCCCAGAGAAGGAATGACACCCTCAACTCGGATGGATACACCCCTGAGCCAGGTGAATCTTGGGGCTAGAGAAGAGCAAGGGATCCATACTGTCCATATGCTCTCTGGAGGAGAGCTTTGGGGAACTGTCTTCCAAAAGCTGAAGGGCTGGCCTCAGAGAGAGAGGCTAGATTTGTTCTGAGGGTCATGGGTTGGGGCTAGAGTGGGGAGGACATTGTAGAGTCAGGTTTAGGCTCATAGAAGGAAAAGTATCCTAACAATCATTCCCAAGGTGGAATGGGCCGCCACAGAAGATACTGAGTTCTTCATCCCTGGAGGTCTTCAAGTGGAGGCTAGTTGACCCCTTTTGATGGATTTTGTGGGTGGGTGGGGGTGTAATTTGTGCTCAAGTTCAGATTCAATTAGATCAGGGGTTCTTGAACTTGCTTATGTTCTGAACCAAAAGTGAGGAACCTGGGGCCTCAAGGCCACATGTGGCCCTCTAGGTCCTCAAGTGTGGCCCATTGACTGAATCCAAACTTCACAGAACAAATCCCCTTAATAAAAGGATTTGTTCTGTAAAACTTGGACTCAGTCAAAAGGCCACACCCAAAGACCTAGAAGGCCACATGTGGCTTTGAGGACACAGATTCCCCACCCCTATAATCTGGACCTTGAGGCCATCAGTCTGGTGAAGCCAATATGGATCTCTCAGAATCATATTTTTAAATATAAAAATACATAAAATTACAAAGGAAACCAATTCTGTTGAAATACATTCACCAAAATATTGATAAAGCAAGTTTACAGAGCCCAGGTTAAGAACCCCTGGCCTAGAGCTCTTGGAGATACCCTCCAGATTGGAAAAGCCTCTGGTCTGGTGGAGGTCTTAAAGTATCCTAGAGAGTCGTTGGGAGGCAGGACCCCAAGACAGGGGGAAGGCTTCCCCTGGAGGGGCTGGAGGCATACCTCTGGGCTTCCCAGCGACACGTCAAACATAGATGCCAAACCCACGCATGTCACAACAACACTGGGCCAGGAGGTGGGGTGGGGGGTGTGTGGCGCCTTTGGTACTGAGTAGCGCCTTCTCTCTTCCCTCTCTTATGTTGGCAGCGTGTCTGAGCAAGAGTCAAGGTGAGAAGTCTCGGGTCCTGCCCATGGACACCAGTGTGTATGAGAGCCCCTACAGTGACCCCGAGGAACTTAAGGACAAGAAACTCTTCCTGAAGAGAGAGAATCTGATGATTGATGAAGTGGAGCTGGGCTCAGGCAACTTTGGCTGTGTCCGCAAAGGGGTCTACAAGATGAGGAAGTAAGACGAGGGGGGACCAGGTGGGGTTGTTGAATCCTAGGCTTATAAACTGAGAGCTGGAGGGGGCCTCAGGGGCCATCTGATAGACCAGCCTCCCCTCATGGCATAGTTTCTTAGGAAACTGAGCTCAACTGACTTGTCCAAGATCACACTGGCAATAAGTAGCAAAGGTGGGGTTTGAACCTAGATCTGCTGACACTAGAGCTGGCACGCCTTAGGGGCAGGTAGGTGGCACCATAGTGCACAGAGCGCTGGGCCTGGAGTCAGAAGACTCATCTTCATGAGTTCAAATCTGGCCTCAGACACTTACTAGTTGTAAAACCCTGGGCAAGTCACTTAACTACTCTCTGCCTCAGTTTCCTCAACTCTAAAATGGCGATGATAATAGCACCAACCTGGCAGGGTTGTTGTGAGGATAAAATGAGATAATATTTGTGAAGCACTTAGCACAGCGCCTGGCACATAGCAGGTGCTTCATGAATGTTGATTCCCTTCCTTCTCTTATGCCATGCTGGGTCATGGAGCCTGTGATGAGTATATGAGAGCCAAGAGACTTGGAGGCCACTGGTTCTGCCCTTGATTCATGTGACCTTGGGAAAATCTCTCCCCCTTTTCTGGATCTCAGTTTCCTTTTTTGTGCAGTGACTAGAATCTGTTCTATTCAAGGGCCCCAGAGTGGGCGTGGGGGGAGCTGGATAAGGGAGGATGGGGTTTGATGGGAAGTCAGAAACACAGGATCAAAGCAGCCTCAGTGAGCTCAGCCTGTGTGTGCCCTGGGCAGGAAGCAGATTGATGTGGCCATCAAGGTGCTCAAGAGCACCAATGAGAAGGCCGAGAAGGAAGAGATGATGAAGGAAGCCCAGATCATGCACCAGCTGGACAACCCCTACATTGTGCGAATCATTGGCGTGTGCAAGGCGGAGGCCCTCATGCTGGTCATGGAGATGGCCATCGCGGGGCCCCTGAACAAGTTCCTGGCCGCCAAGAAGTGAGTGGAGAGGGGTGAGGGGAGCTGAGAGTGTGTGTGTGCACACACATACCAACACCCCCTCCCATCTGGGACCCATACTCATAATAAATCACATTTCATAGCAGAGGCCTTTCCTCACAACCCGTCTGTGGAGGAGCTAATCTAAGTCTGACTGTTCCCATTTGACAGATGAGGAATTGAGGCTGTATATATACATGCACACACATACACACATACTCACATATATATACATGTGCATGTACACGCACACAGTTGTGTGTATGCACCTGCTACCTTGTGCACCCCTCCTCTCCCACTTGCACTGTATACATGCCCTCCTCTCACCCCACCCCCCCACCCCCTGGTAGCCTGATGTAGCCTGACCACACAGTTTTAGGGGGCAGCTAAATGAGAGGTCAGGCTCATTGAATAGGTGTGGAGTCCATCCTCATAATGGATGACTTCTTACTGACCTCACCCCATCAGAGATGGCCAGCATCTTTTACGTCATCTCTTAACCTCGATAACTCACCCTGCGTTTCCACCTCCACATGCACTTAGACTGTCCCCTTAGAGGCCTGAGTCCAGGAGAACAAAGGGATGGGTGGAGGAGAGGATGTGGGGGTACCAGGCTGGTGAATCTGCCTGTCTCTTCACCCTGCCCCCAACTCTTGTCCTCTAGGGAGGAGGTCCCTGTAAGCAATGTCGTAGAGCTGATGCACCAGGTGGCCATGGGCATGAAATACCTAGAAGAAAAAAATTTTGTGCACCGTGACCTGGCTGCCCGAAATGTCCTTCTGGTCAACCAGCACTATGCCAAGATCAGTGACTTTGGTTTATCCAAGGCACTGGGGGCCGATGACAGCTACTACACTGTGAGATTTTCCAGGGGCAGAGTGTGGAGTGTGAAGGGGGGAGCTTATGGAAGGCACAGAGGGGAGTGGGCTGGCAGGAACCAGGACAGGCCCAGGGCAAGAGGCCTGGGGAGAAAAGAACTGGGCAAAGACTGGGGGGGAGGCCCAGGGAAAGAGGCCTGAGTGGAGGAGGAGGAGGAGCTGGGGGAGGGTCAGGGCAGAAAGCCTGTGGAGGGTGGGGGGAAATAAATACTGGGAGGAGGTCCAGGAAACAAAGCCTTGAGGGGCAAGAAAGTACCTTATAGGAGATCCAGAGGAGCGGGCCCTCTGGGTAAGCCATGGCGTTGTGGCACATCGTGTCCCTGCTAGCAGCCCAAAAGGCCTCTGAGCTAGAGACTGGTTGGTGCAAGGCCAAGTTCAGGGGCTGCAAATGCTGAGGTGGGGAAGAAGGGAGAATTGCAGCACAGCATTCCCTGTGTCCTAGGCCCGCTCTGCAGGAAAGTGGCCACTCAAGTGGTATGCCCCAGAGTGCATCAACTACCGGAAATTCTCCAGCCGAAGTGACGTGTGGAGCTACGGAGTCACCATGTGGGAAGCTTTGACCTACGGCCAGAAGCCCTATAAGGTAGGGTCAGGGCAGGAGACTCAGGGGAGGTGGAGGGAAGAGTCAGAGAAGGTTTGGCAAGTGAGACAGGAGAAATGTGATGTATTCAAAAGATCATTGCATTTGCAATTAGAGGACCTAGGTTCTAGTGTAGGCCCTGCCTCTTAGAGGCTGGTGACTTTGTCACTCCATCTCTCTGGGCCTCAGTTTCCTCATCCATAAAATGGGGAAGGGGCTGGACCACATGACCACTGAAGTCCCTTTTAACTCTGTGACCCTATAGATCTTCCCCTCTCTGTTCCTCAGATTGTTTGTATGATGAAGCATAATATAATTATATATATTATATGTATATATTCATATGTAATCATTGTATAATGAAGGGGTTGGATTAGATGATGCTAAATCTGTGGTCCTATGGAGCAATGGTGCTGGGATAGGGATGCTCAGGGGAGGCACAGGGCAGCAGGGGAATTGTGGGTTGGAGTAGAAAATACGGATGAAGGGGAGAGAGAAAATAATGTGGGAGCTAAGGGGAAAGAGAAAGGAGGAAGCAGGCCCTGAAAGGCTGCTGAGCCACCTCTGCTCATCCCCATCTAACCCCACCCTCACAACCTCCTCCCCCACTTCATTCTTGGCTTCCTGTGTCCCTGGAGCAGAAAATGAAAGGTCCTGAGGTCATCAAATTCATCGAAGAGGGTAAGCGGATGGACTGCCCTCCTGAGTGCCCACCAGACATATACACACTCATGAGAGACTGCTGGATATACAAGTGAGTGTCTATCTGTCCACTCTCCAGCCCCACCTCAGCCTTCTCTGACCAATAGGCAGTCAACCAGGATCTATCAATTGCTTACTATGTGCTGGGGATGCAGAGAAAGGCATTGGAAAGGCAGGAAGGGGCTAGGCTGTGAAGGACTTTAAAAGAGGATTTAATATTTGATCGAAGGTAATAGGGAGCCATAGAAGATTATTGAGTGGGTGTGGGGAGGGAGAAGGGGTGACGTCGTTAGACCTTCAATTGATAGAAACCATTTGGGCAGTTAAATCAGAGATGGATCGGAGTGGGGAGAGACTTGAGACAGGGAGTGAGGTGATGAGGGATTACACCAGGGTAGTGGTTGGAAAATATGAGAGAAATATTCTAAAGAAAGAAGTGATAGATGGTGACAACTGATTGTATATGTGGGGCAAGTGTGAATGAGAAATTGAGGATGCCACTGAGTTTGGGAGCCTGGGTGACTAGAAGGATGGTGGTACCCTCAAAAGCAATAGGGAAGATGGGGAAAGGGGACGGTTTAGGGAGAAAGATAATGGGTTTTATTTTGGACGTGTTGAGTCTGAGATTTACAAAAGGCAGCTGGTAATACAAGGTTGGAGTTCAGAAGAGAGGCTAGGGCTGGGTATTATAGCTCTGGGAATCACGTGTATAGAGATGACGACTGAACCCATGGAAGCTGATAAGATCACCAATTTAGCTCCATAGGGGTAGGAACAGTGTTTTTGCTAGGTGGCCCAGTGATAGAGAGCTGGAGACAAAGTCAGGAAGACCAGAGTTCAAATCCCGCCTTGGACACATATTAGCCATGGGATCCTGGGCAAGACTTAACTTCTGTCTATGTCAGTCCCCTCATCTACAAAATCGAGATAATAATAGCACCTTCCTCTCAGGGTTCTTGTGAGGGTCAAATGAGATATTTGTAAGCTTTAAATCACTATATTAATACTAACTTTTATTAATATCATAATATAGAGGGAAAAGAGATGAGGGCCCAGGCTGGAGTCTTCAGGGACACCAATATTTAGTGGACATGGCTTGGAGACTGAGAAATAGTGGTCAGATACATAGGAAAACCCAGAGAGAGCAGTGTCGTGGAAACTTGAGGGAGAGAGGATGCCCAGGAGAAGAGTGATAGTGGCAAAGCCTGCAGAAAGGTCAAGAAGGAAGAGGATTTGGGGGTAACTAATAGGGAGGGGAGCAATGGGGACTGAGGCAACCTCCGGGGATATGCTGGGGGTGTGGGGTCGGGGGTCTTGGGGAGCCAAACAATTTTGATGGGCGAAGGAAGGAATGAAAAAGCATTTGTAAAGCAGCTGAGCAAAGGAAGCACTGAGTTAAATCGTGAAGCTACATCTGGAAGAACTCTTAAGGAGCTCAGAATTTTGAGGGGAAGAATGCTCAGCTACGGGGGTCCTAAGAGGGTGGCTACAGGGGGTGGTGATGAGGCCTGGGAGCCGTTACTATGCATCAGGATATTTCTTCCTTGAGAGTGGCCCATGGCCACTGGAAAGGGGGATTTCGTGTCTGGCCAGGAGGGGAAAAGGGGAAGAGAGCTTTGGGAGTAAGTGCCAGTTCTGGCTTATGGGGAGGGGAAATTAGGCTCCAGAAAGCCCCTCAAGATCCTATAGAGAGGGTCTGGGAAGGTCTGCTGGCATGGGGAGGGGGATGTTTGGTCCCACTAGCTTGAGATAGGAATAAGGAAACAACAGCTCATCCCAACCCCTAACAGCCCAACACCGAATGGCCCAACATACTACTATCTAATAGTCTGAAACCTCAAAACTTACCACCCCCAACAGTTCAACACCCGGATATCTGATGTTATAGTAATTGATAATTTATTTAATAATTATTAATACTGTAATTCTTACTTATAGCATGCTTTAAGGTTTGCAAAGCTCATTGCATAAATGATGTCATCTGATTCCAACATTGACCCCACTCTGGCATCTCCTGAAACTAACCTGGCAGACCAAATCTGAGAGCCAGTGTGGTCTTAGGGGGAAGAGTCCTGGCTCAAGTGTCAGAGAATCCCAGTTCTCTCTCCATATTTTCCATGTGACATTGGGGAAAATCCCTTAACCTCTCTGTGTGTCTCTTTCCTCTCTTAGATCCAGAATTCCTTTCCAACCTATGATCTAGGTTCATAGGATTCTAGGTCCTAGGTACATAGTTCCCACACTCTGCCACTTACTAGCTGTAGGGCTTTGGGCAAGTTACTTGGCTCTGTGAGCCTCAGTTTCCCCATCTGTAAGATGATGTGCATTGTCTAGCTCATTTGTGGGCACTACAGAAATGTGAGTGACTATTATTTTGATGATGAAGATGATGATGATGGTGGTGATGATGATGATGACATCCTCTTTCTTTAGAAAATCTTTTCCCTAAGGCCTTACCAGAGAAAACTGGGGGAAGGGAGGGGTGTGTTGGTAGTGGGGACTTAGGTAATTATACACCCTCAGCATTGGAAGGAATCCTAGGAGGGAAACAGCATGGTACAGTGGAACAGGAGGCTGTATTTGGAGTTCCCCGCTTTGCCACTAGCTGTGTGACCTTGGGCAAGTCACTTTCAGTCAGTTTGGTTTCCTTGCCCATAAAATGAAGGGAGAGGGAGCAGAGTTGGAGGGGCCCTTTGACCTCTAAACCTGCGACTCTAAAACATGTTCTAATCCAATCCCCACGGGGAGCATGAAGCCGGTCGGCATTGTGGGCACTCAACAAACGGTTACACTGTAGGCACTACTAAACTTTGTGTCCTGGAACTCTTTGGCCATCAATCTGGTGAAGTCTACCTATGGGTCCCTGCTTGGTCACTGCTTCAAATGTATAAAACAAAATACACAGGACTTCGAAGGAAACAATCGTAAAGGAAGCCAGTTCTCAACACATTAAACAAAAGTGTGTCCACGGACTCCAGGTGAAGTACCTGCACTGGCCACTTGAAGTGGTCCTGAGGCAGCCCATTTGGATTTGGGGACAGCTTTATTACTGGGAAATTTTTCCTTATATTGATCCAGCGTTGGCTTCTCTGAAATACTTGTCTGCTGATTCTAATTCATTTCTCTGGGGTCAAGGTGGATGTCTCAGGGACATGATGACTTTTCTTGTCCCCAGGATGGAAGCCTGTGGGGTGGAGGTGGGAGAGGAAAAGGGACAGGGACTAGCTTAATGTTTGTGTCCCTCCTGCTTACAGGTGGGAGGATCGTCCAAGCTTCTCGGATGTGGAACAGCGAGTTAGAATCTACTATTACAGCCTGGCCAGTAAGGCAGAAGAGGTCTCAGAAGCCCCTCAAGCAGAGGAGGCTACCAGTACCTGAGGACCATCTCCCTTTCTCTGGATCTTCCCAGTCCTTCCCAGATCCTGGCCTTGCCTCTTGCTTCTTCCCAGAGAGGCTTGTCCCCCTGTCTCTCCCATGCCAGCAAGACCACTGCCTTCCCTCCAGATGCCTGAAACTCCTTCTCATTTGCATCTCCTCCCCTCACCAGAGGACTGAAAACTCCAGACTTCAAAGTGAATATTCTTTAGAAAAGCCAGACCCTTTTCTACACCCTTTCCCTAGACACTCAGGGCTTGTGGGATCTTGGAAGGCACAACTGGCCCTATCCCTCTGCCTTCTTTGATGGAGTTGAGCCTCAGCTCTGGGCTCCTCCTACTGGGGCTAGATGGGAACTGGTAGGGATGGGGTGGGGTGGTCTGTGGAGACCCAGCCAAACCCAGGCTGAAAGTCCAAGGGAGACCAGGTGGAAGCTTCATGTCAGTGAAATAAACTCAGCTATTTCTCCATCCTCTGTTTTGAATTTCACTGGGACTCTGCAACTGGTTGAGGTTGGGGACTTGAGTGGAAGAAGGCAAAGAATTCTTTATGTGTACTGCAAGGGGTCTGGAATGTTAAGGAGAGGAGAGTGTGTTAGGTAGACTGGGCATTAATTAATGGAGGCACCAGTCATTGGACATGTGTGGTATGGGTGGATGGTTACTAGTATTAATGTTTATTGAAGATGATGGCCAATGGTGATGTTTGTCACTAAAGAGTGTAGGTCATTAGGGTCATCAGTTACTGGATGAATGCCATGATGAATGCCAGGCATTTAAGTCATTAAGCGAATCAGTGTGGGAAGTGTCAATCACTGGAGTTGTTCACTGAGTATGATGGTAATTTGGGATTATCTAATTAATGAGGGAATGAGCCACTTGGGGGCCATGACTGCTACCTTCTGAAGATTTGAGGTGGCTCAATGAGCTACAGTCTTAAGGACACCTCTCTTCTTTTTTCCACCCTCTTTTCCTTTAGAAAGTTACTGATACCAACACTTAAGTTAGTCACCATTGGGACACAGTCAAGTTCTTTGCTGGTGTGATAGGCATGACTGAGTAGTACAACTGAGTAGCATTTCCCAGAATGCCTTGACCTAGACTATGGATTTCCCAGGACTCTGTTTCCCAGAAGGCTGGGGATTGGAACAATGGGGTAAGTGGCTAGCTGGAGAAACCTAAGGGACATTCAGGACTACGGATGACACCTAGGAATTCAGGAATCCTGGAATTTTCCTGGTGTCCCATAGAGCATGGGGAGAAGATACTGAAGCTGAAAGACAACTGCAAAGACATAAGAACAGTACAAGCGAGGTCTTCCTTGCTAGGTTAGTGAGTTTGAAGGGACTTATTCTCCAAATTACTCAATACAGGAAGAGGATGAGATTTCACTCATTCTGGAATGCATGGGATATTGATTCCCTATTTTTTTTACTGTTCCTTTCAGTCCCAATTAAATGCTCCTTTATTTCTTTTTATTTATTTCTTTTTAGTTTTCAACATTCATGTCTATGAGCTTTTGAGTTTTAAATTTTCTCCCCCTCCCCCCTCCCCAAGATGACATGTGATCTGATATAGGCTCCACATAGAAATTCACATTTAACATATTTTCACATTAGTCATGTTGTAAAGAAGTATTAGAACCAATGGCAGGAACCTCGAGAAAGAAGAAACAAAACAAAACAACGAAAGAAAAAAAGAGGATCAAATAGATTTGATCTGCATTCAGACTCCAGAGTTCTTCCTCTGGATGTGGATAGTATTTTCCATGATGAGTCTTTTGGAGTCGTCTTAGATCCTTGCATCGCTGAGGAGGGCTAAGTCTATCAAAGTTAGTCATTGCACAGCATGGCTGCTACTGTGTACAACGTTCTCCTGGTTCTGCTCACTTCACTCAGCATCAGTCCATACAAGTCTTTCCAGGTTTTTCTGAAGTCCACCTGCTCATCATTTCTTAGGGAATAATAGTATCCTATTACATTCATATACCACAACTTGTTCAGTCATTCCCCAATTGATGGGCATCCCATCTCAGTTTCCAATTCTTGGCCACCACAAAGAGAATGCTCTTTTATTTCAATGCTTTTCTTTGCTTGAGTCTGATATTGTGAGCAACTGAACATCTGGACAGGATTTGATTTTAGAAGTACCCAGTCTCAGATTGAGTGGGGGGCAAGATGAACCAGACGGCTCCATCCCTATGATTTTAACCCAAGTCTGAGAAGGGTGGGATCATCGTTTGGGTGCGGTCAATGAGCCAACATGAAAGTACATAACAGGGAAACAATCACATTCTGGAATGAGTCCAATCTCATCCCCCTTTCCCCTTGAGTGATTGGAAAATAAATTATTCCAAACTTGCTACTGCAGAGGAGAAGGCAGGTAAAAGGTCTTTTTATAACTGAAGTGAGAGGAGGGAAACTTCAGCCCCATAAAGCTCACATCTTTCCTGTAATCATCAGTTAATCTCTGCAACTCCTGCAGCTTAGATGTCTTCTTTCTTGTTCCAGGGGTCCCACGATACTCTAAGATTCTTGGTTCCTGGATGCCACCTTTTGCAGTCTCAAATAGCCCCTTCCTTCTCTTTCTCTAGCCTTGGCACCACAACCCTCAGATGCACCATTATGGAAAATGGGGTCCTAGGAATTTTTCCAATGAATGGTCATGCTCTGGGCCAAGGCATTATGGGAAATGTAGTCCTATTCAAATATGCTTGCTATATTTCAAAAAGGGAATTCTATAGATCCCAACTATCTATAGATTAGGCCATTATGGGTACTAAAAAAAAAAGCCAGGGCTGTCCCCACACATACAGTCCCTCTCCTCACTTCACATTAGCTATTGACTACTATATCTACTACTCCAAGAGTCAAAGGTAAGCAGTGGTGTGGACTCCTTAGCTATGACTTTGGGAATAGACCTTGTCCGTACCTCCTCTATAGGAGACTCCCTGTGTAAGAAATGGAACACATAGCTTCTTACAGTGCAAGACATGACACATTCTGCCAGGAAAAGCCTCTGGACCCTTCTTGGCAAATGAAATGCCAGTGACCTGTCAGAATGAAATGATTCCCTCCCAATAGGGTACAATGGGAAAGGCAGGAAGCTTTTAAAAAATTTCTATTGATACCTTTTTGTTTTGACATCACCATCATCTACAAAAATATTCCTGCCTTCCTCTTCTCCCCTGAGAGTCATCTCTTGTATCTGAGAATAAAGAGAAAAGAGAGAAGCAATTCAGAAAAGTAACCAACCCATCAACCAGGCCTGTCAAGGTATGTAGCATTCCACACCCATAGTCTCTGACCTCTGCAAAGAAGGTTGGGAGGTGCATCTTTGAAAGAGCATTCAATTTAGAGCAAGAGGACCAGAGTATGATTTTTAGCTTTGTTGTTTATTGGCTGGGACTCTGGGTGATCCCTTCCCTTCTTTGGGCTTTGGCTTCCTTCTCTGTACAACGAATGGGTTGGACTAAATTGGGCATTTTTACATTGTTGTTTTTTTTGCATCTCAGACCCCTTTGGCAGTTTGCTGGAAGCCTGTGAACCCCTTTTTGGAAGAAGGTTTTTAAAAGCATTAAATAAAATAACATAAGATTAGAGAAGAAACCAAAGATATTGAAATAAAGTTTTCAGAATATTAAAAACAAAACCAAAGTCATGGGCCCAGGTTAAGAAGCTGTGGTCCAGGTGATTCCTAAGATTTATTTTCAGAATTTTACAATTTTGTCATCCTCATAGGAATGACCTATGAGGATATAGGCCCCACCATCTGAGGTAGAAATGGGAGTTTCCTTTATAACTTGTAAGACTAAGAATCTAGGGAACTGGGTACTCTGGTAACCTGGGTCTAGGAGTCCTAAGGAAGTGAGAACAATGAAGTCTAGGGAAAAGAGCTCTACTTTGGAGTCCTAACACCAAGGTTTCAAATTCCAGCTCTGTTACTTACCACCTATAAGAACTTGGACAAGAGTACTGGCTCTAGGGTTAGAGGGGACTAGGTTCAAATTCCACCTCTGGGTCCCTATAGGTTTCAGTTTCTTCAGTTATAAAATGAGGGGAGAGTCAGATCTAATGGCCCCTGGGCACTGTTCTAGCTCTAGATCTTGGATTCTATGGTTCTAAGTCATTCTCCCTTTCTGGGGCTCTGTGAAATGAGAGGGATGGGCTTCACAATCTCTGAGGCCTTATGTAGCTCTGCTGCCTAGGAGACCCTGAAAGTCTTCCCTCAATTAATCTCCAGGGAGGGACAAAAAAAATTGCAGATTTAGACATTAAGACCTAAAGCATATATGGCCTCAAGTTCCCCACTGCTGGCTAAAGGAATGAAGCTGGCCTAGCCCTGGATGCCTTGGCTGGAGAGACCTCCCCTCTCTTCAACAGGCAAGTCTGGTTCCAGATAAGTCCCACAAAAGCCACAGTGGGTAGATTGGGGCTCAAAAATGGAGCAGTCCCTCTCTGCTGGGGGCTCTGGGCACCTAGAGCCTGAATTAGGGCAGTGTGACCAGGGCTTTGCTCCAGTATTGGAAACTCAGATTGGGGAACGGAAATTAATTGCAGTCCTTCAGCAGCTAGAAACATCTGAGCTTAGCACCTAGTTAGCAAGCCTTGGAGAGGGATAGAGATTGCATCTGTGATTTCACTGAGTCGAGAAAGCTCCTACTAATTCAAGTTGGCACCTTTCCTGCAACCTAGTGTTTAGAGACTCAAGCGCTAAGAGGTTAAGTGATCTGTCCAGGGTCACATAGCCAGTATGACTCAAAGGTAGGATATGAACCTAGATCTTCCTGGTTCTGAGGCCCAATCAGCATGCTGGTAACAACTAGTTAGAGTAGGAAGCCTCTGAAAAATGCCTTTCTTTCCATCCCCTAATGGGTTGCTATCCTAGGGGTTTCCCTACCTTCAAATGAATGCCTTAAAAAAGTGATTTGGAAAATGAGTCTATAGCTGCTTGTCCTAGGTACAAACATTGCTGGTTATAGGAACCCCTGCTGGGAATGGGTACAATGGGGGAGAGAAAGAATCCATAGTGGAGATGTCTGCCTCAGTTTTTTCACCTGTAAAATGGGAATTATAGCAGCACCTACCTCACAGGGTTTTTGTGGGGATCAAATGAGATAATATATACAATGCTCTTTGCAAACCTTAAAATGTTATAGATTGGGGGCAGCTAGGTGGCGCAGTGGATAGAGCACTGGCCCTAGATTTGGGAGGACCTGAGTTCAAATGCGGCCTCAGATACCTAACACTTACTAGCTGTGTGACCTTGGCAAGTCACTTAACCCTATTGCCTGCCCCCCCCAAAAAAAAACCTAAACAAAAAAATGTTACAGATTGCTATGATGATCAGGAAATTGATCGGGGTTGAGGAGCTGTAAATGATAAGAATCTCAAGGTTTGGGCCAGTTTAGAAAATGGGTGTGTTGGAGGGGTTCTATTCAGTGTCCACCAGAGGGCACCAGTACTTAGTTC